GGGCCAATCTCAAAGCCACCTTTGAAAATAAACGTGTGTTAGTCAATCGTCAACTTAAGTTGTTGTTTGCTTTACCAGTCATTCGGACTGAGAGCGCATCGGCATTAAAAAATATCCAAAGCAACATCAATGGGTGTTTAGCAGCATTAGCCATGTATGACATAGACGTATCCAACTGGGATCCGATTATTGTGTTTTTGTGCTCGAATCGACTTCCGGAAACCACCCTAAGTCTATGGGAGCAAACTCTTGTGGATAAAGCTGCCATTCCACTTTGGAGCCCAATGGATACCTTTCTTACACAGCGCTTCCGGACTTTGGAATCAATCACGGATGTTAGATGTCCATCGCCACCTTCAACGTCAACATATGCATTCCAACAACAACGGACAGCGCAACAACATCAGAACCCATCGGGCAGAAGAAATTTTCACACGCTACCAACATATCGTCTGCAACACAATGTATTTTATGCCCAAAGCAACAACATGTTTTGCGACTTTGCAAAAAATGTATAAGCCTTTCTGTTAGTGATGATATGCCACAATCAAAAAACACAACTTGTGCCTCAATTGCCTTTCAAGAGGCCATTCGGTAAAGGAGTGTAAAAGTAATTTTTCATGCACAATCAATGCTATTATTGATTCTGCATCGGAAGCAACGTTTATTTCGGAACGAGTGCGCAATCTTTTAAAGTTACCTTTTTCGAAGACCAATGCAACCATATCGGGATTAAATAAGAAGGTGTCTTCGTGTTCATTTAAATTATGCACATTCTTGTTAGGTTCTCCGCGCGATCTGAAGCTACCGCGTTTGTGTTACCACAGATTACCGGTAACTTACCGTCCACTTCCTTGCACAGATCCGTACTTGACCAATTGCCTAAGGAACCCTTAGCGGATCCTAACTTCTTACAAAGTGGTCCAATAGATCTTTTAATTGGGGGTGATTTGTACCCCAAAGTTATGATGGAGGGTGTGAAGCGGAGTCTTCATAATAACCTTTTATCCCAAGAAACTGCGTTCGGGTGGATTGTCACTGGGGCAACCTCCACTGCACACGTTTCTTGCTTTGCTACCAAAGTCTCAATGGGAGAGAATAGTTCCATAAGTAACCAAATTCAATAGTTCTGGGAATTAGAAGAGATCCTAAAGCGGCATATACAAAGCAAAGAAGACACGTTTTGTGAGGAGTTGTTGGTACAACGAGTACAAGGAATTCGGAAGGGAGATATGTTTTAGTACTACCCTTTAAAAATGAATATCCAAAGGATATAAAATTAGGATCTTCACGTCATATTGCCCTACGACAATTTGCACGCAATGAAATTAGATTACTTAAAAATATTTCCTTCAAGACTGATTATGACAACGTCATTAAAGAATACTTAGAGTTAGATCTATGGAAAGGGTAGATGAACCTCAGTTTCAGCATGCTCCATCCCACT